CCACACCAGGCCCAATGCGCACAGTGTGACGCACACACACACTGTCTTGCTTTTGACTAATGAAAAGTAAAAGCAGTTGGAAAAACACAACAAAACAACAAATTACAAACTGAGCTTATCAGGAGGAACTATTTTGTGAGGCGAATTAATCTTGCCATTATAAATCAGCCACGCCTGGTGGTTCATGAATGCCTCGAGCTCCGAYGGACGAGGAGCTGACAGGGACAGTTCAGAAACAATTTGGGATGAGAAAAAAATATAAACAGATTAATTGTGTTTTATACTGCCTATTGCTAACAGGTCTATTCTGACAYAAAGTGCAGCTGTGATCTGTTTCTGAATGACAGCTTTATAGGTGAAAGCTTCTTCCCACTCTTCCTGGTACAATGTACCGGCGCAGAATCTTTTAGTGGTACGCAGTACCGAACCGTACTGGCTTACTTTCACCCCTGACTACGAGAGACAAAATTAGAAACAATATCTAGAAAATCACATTGGGCCTCATGTAAAAACATTTTCATATTTTTATTCTTAATTTCTCTTACTTTTTCATACGAACATGCCATGTCAGATTCAGCAAACGCTTCTATCTTCATGAAAAGTTTGTAAATGAGCAGCGTAAACATGATGAAAGCCACCTGTACGCACAAAGAGAGGAAATTAGCATAATTACCACCCCAAAAAACACCATACTTCCTGACCCGCATACCAGGAAGATGTCAGTGCATTCTGAACTGAGTAGTGATGTAATGATTTGACATGCACGCATGTAGGCATATATTTGGAAGTGTATGTACAGCTCTGYAAAAAAACAAGAGACRAGAGTTTCCCTGTATTTGGTGGAAAGCATTCCACCAAATATTGATTTCTGAACTATTCCTGAGTTAAAACATTAGTATTGTTGTATCTAAATGAATATGAACTTGTTTTCTGTGCATCTTTGTCGTCACTTTGACCATTTCTCATTTTCTTTAAATAAATACTAAATTTTTGATAGGAATTTCGGAGACATATTGTCATTGTTCATAGAATAAAATAACTGTTTATTTTACTCAAACATATACCTACAAAGAGTAAAATCATAGAAACTGATCATTTTAAATTGGTCTCTTTATTTTTTCCAGAGTATTTATTAATTGAACTTTTGTTATGTGTATGTTTGTTTATATTCATTCAGTTSTTTATTAGGAGTGGGTGTCGTTTAAAGTTTTTCTAAACAAAAAGTTTGAAAAAATAGCTTCTGTCATAGGTCCTGATACATCTCAGTAATCCAGGTAAAAAATCAAAAAGAAAAAAATCGTATAGGTCTTCTGGACGGGTTCTTCTC